TTTTTTTTTTTTTTTTTTTTTTTGCAGTCAGCAGCAATGGATTTGCATACTATGGCAGGCATTAGTAAATCCAGACTCCCTCAGCCTCAGCCTAATTGGATTTTATAGCAGTCACTGAAAGCTAACTGCTTTGCCACCTCCAGATGCCACGGAAGTAGAGAGCAAGTACTTTGTGCTTTACTATTAGATTCCTACACAACTCCAAATTTAAACTTGGCTACAGACAACGACAGTAAAACTGGGTTCAGCCTGATTTACCAGTAGCAGGCCCCAGGTCTTCCAACTGGAATCAGTCCCCAGTAGTGTTAGGTACTACAGGAACAGAGTCTTCTCTGGAGTGCTTAACGTATTGCAACTACAAGACGAATCAAGAGGGTGTATGGCCAGCAGGCAGAACAACAGTGGTGGGAACTTTGTTATACAGATTACCTGTGCCTGATACTTACCAATCAAAGAAAAAAAGCTTGCTTCACATTTTTCTATAATTTCACTGAAGAAATTAATTTGAACCTGGCTAATGCAGTGACTAGTTATATGTAGTTTAATGTGGGCATTCTTCTCAATAAACACAGATGTAGGAAACAGACTGAAGTCCTTTGTAGACAGGAAGAAAACTCAAAAAGGAAGAGCCACAGAGAGGAGGAATAGCTCAGTCATTATGAGAGGACTGATGGATTAGTCAAATTTGTAGTAGTAGAAGTCCATTAGCACAAAATGACATGGCAACAGGGCTATGAGACAGACAGTGGGGGTAAATCAAATGGTTGGCGATTGGTAATATACATTTTGTAGTTAGAGAGGCAAAGGAAATTGTGAGTGAAGAGCAGAAGTTGGAGGTGTTTGCTAGAGTGCCTAAGATCTATGGATTTATATAAGGCCATCCAGTAATACCCTTACTTACCCTATTCATCATATACCAAAAGGGCTTGTTAATCAAAGTGATGAGATAGAGACCCTTATTTTAATTACAAAAATCTTGTAGTTAATAGATCGTATGTAGCCAAGGGAAAGTTATAACCTCACAGACATCTGATATGGATAAAATCAAAGGGAATTTTTTGTGTGCGTGTTGCAGTAGCAAGCGAAACTGAAAATTATACCTTCAAAAAAGACAGCCATGAGCAGTACAAAGGGGACCTCTATTCATTGGCAACAGCATCACAAATTATAACTGCCTTGATCTGTTAATATTACTTATGCATTTCCTTTTATGTTTAATGAATACCATCACTTTAACTGTGACTCTATTATTAGAACTCTCATAACTTATGTAGCTTCCAGATTTTCCACACTTTATGATGATTCGTGTGGTGTATTCATTGCAAGTCTTACCTCTGCACTTGTGTGAGAATGGCCCATTTTTCAGAAAGGCATATTTTATACCTTGTGTATTTACCATAATTGTGTGCACCACAGATAAGTAAGCAAGCAGATGAATAATTGTTTGTGCTTGCAGTCACTTAAATTGCACAATTATATACTTAGATGTATGAAAGTATATGTATTTCTGTTTTCTGGTCCTTTAAAAAAAACTTTTAAAGGAAACAGTTTTGTGAAGTCACCCTTGCCTGCCTAATCATCCATCCATCCATCCATGGAATAGCTACCACTTGGAAACTTATCAATTGTATGTTATGTTTATTATTTTTAAAGACGGCAGTTGAAAATTGCTCTTTGTTGAATATTCCCTTTATATTTTTCACAGCCAAAAAACCCTCAATCTTTCTGTAAGCAACAGAGTTTTTTTTTTTTTTTATTATTATTAATAAGATGCAATGTAATCGCATCAAAAGCCTCTTCATTTTTCACCCACTCTTTCCCGTGGGTGATCTGTCATATTGCTTAGCTTCTTTCAAAACTCTCAGCTTTGAATCAGATTTTCAGGACAGCTTTGAAAACCTGTCTTGAAAACAGGTCTTGTGTTTCTATTCTTATAGCGTACGCCCCAGGAGAATGTGGGCGAGAATCTGAAGTTTTACTTCTGGTGAATTGGTATTAAAATAAGTTAAAAATAAAAAAAGTATACTAGTGCGGAAAACAGCTTGGAACTTTTTAAAAGGTTTTAAACATTTCAGTTGTGATCCTACCCAACCTTATGTTATTTCCCCATCAGTGAAAATGGGCAACAGTATTTGCCCGGATGTGAGAAGCTTCATTTACTAATGTATGAAGGATCTTAAGGTCTTCAGATGGAATGTAATACAGTAGAATTACTATTTTTTTTTCTTTTTTAACTCTGTACATACTGGAAATTTCACAGCCTGAAGTGCAGGCCTTTCAAATGCTAAGAATTAAGATAATTTAATCTAATGTGCAAAGCTGGAAGGGGCCTCAGGAGGTCATCCAGTCCAACTTCCTGCTCAAGATAGGATCATCCCTGTCCAAGCCATCCCAGACAAATGATTTGTCTAACCTTCCTTCCAGTGTGTAAGGTTCTACAAGATCTCTAGAAATCTTTTCCAGAGCTTCAACACCTTCATAGTTAAATACTTTCTAATACACAACTTATATCTATTTGCAACACAAGTCCTTTGTTTCTTGTCCTAAACACACAGAACAACTGAGAATCTTCCTTTCTTTATATTTAAGAAGTGTTTTCAAATCTCAGTTTGCAGCCCACTGTCACCCACAGGTTCTTTTCCCCAGTACTGCAAATGCAATCAGTCATTTGTCTGACTGCATTTGTCCCTCTTGTATTTGTATATTTGATCAACCCTTTTTGCATTTGTGCATTTGATCATTCCATCTTAAGTGCAGAACTTTGCACTTACCCTTACTGAATTTCATCAGATTTTAGACCATTTTTCTAACCGATCAATCTGAATACCAATTCCATCCTCAATCTCATTCCCAATCCAATCCTCCTCAAATTGAATTAAGAACAAAGAAGTCAATATTACGTGGCCTGGGAACCATACAAGTATCTAAATAGTCAGTCAAAAAAGTTTGGATAGCGACAGTTTCAAGAAGAGGTGAGCCATATGAGAATTCTGAGCACCTCGGTTTCAAAGTTTAGCTGAGCAAAAACGTTGCAGAGCAAAAGCATGAAGGTATAAACTTAGCAGGAAAGATTTGAGCAAATGAAGACTACAAAGAGAGCTCTACTGTTTGGACTTCAGGGAATGAGGTGACCACAGCAATGTTGCGCTTACCATTCCACTGATGCATCGGCCACAGGCGGTCGTTTTGAACTCACCATGCAGTTCCTTCACTGCACTTGTTGTATAAAAGCCTTCTGCCAAAAGGATTATTCCATACAAGAAAAAAAATGATGCAATGCCATAGATTACATACTGCATTAGCTGTATTCTAAAATGGAAAGAGGAAAAAGATCTTGTCATATTTTGTCACATTAACACAAAGCAGATCTTATTGAATTACATTAGGAACTCATTTTGCCAAGAATCCATGGATACATTTTGGATGCATTTTTAAGGAAGAGGATTGCTAACAGGTATTATGAACCCTTCTTTACAGATGGTTAATAGACACTGGATACTGACTTTCACCTGAGCAGAGCCAACCTGGTACTCAAATGGAGTTGAGTTTTAATGTACTGACTTGATTATAAGATAAGGTTTTCTCCCATTCAACATGGGGGAAGGGGGTGGGGAATAAAATATTCAAGCCTTGTCTTGTGATCACATATAACTTACCTCAACTCAGAAAGTGTACAGGAGATGGCAAGGTTAGGGAGGATGCAGCCATGCACCTAGCACATGGCCAGCCAGCAGAGGGTACCTGGGCTCCCCTCAGCATGCAGGGTCGCTGGCTGGCCTGTGCAGGGTCACTATGCTGCTGCCTGGCAGTGCATTCGATTTGCTTCAGCACCCATTGGCTGGAAACTGCACATGCAACTCAAAATGACCTGGCAGGCACCAGTCAAGCACTGTCCTGGCAGCACAGGGTTTCTGGCCAGCATGTGCCAAGTTGCTCTGAGCTGTTGCTCAAGCAGGGGGTGCTGAAGCACCTTGCCACTTGCCAGCAGCCTGGCTGCATCCCTTTAGATGTTCTGGTTTGCTCCAGCACCTGCTGCTTGAGCAGCAGCTCAGAGCAATTCAGTACACGCTAGCCAGAAACTCTACACAGCCAGGGACTGTGCTGGCTGGCGCCTGCTGGGTCATTTTGAGCTCATATGTGGTTTCCAGCCAGACGGTGCTGAAGCAAGGAACTCAGCGCACAGCTCAAAAATGACCCGGCAGGCACCATCTCTGCAGCATCAGTTCTGGCTAGACCACCAGTAAGCGCATGAGTGCTATATACCAATTGCTACAGCCGTGTTTAATTTCAAGGTTCTTGTTTTCAAGTTTGCTCCTTGCTCTCATGTGCTCAGGGAGAACAGGGTCTGACAGTAAGGAGAAGGGGAAGGGGCTGCCAGGGGACAAAGGCAGGGGGTAGTAGAGAACAAAGGCTACCTGACCTCCCACAGATTTATTGTCCCCACTATAGCAGTGGGTGGGAAAC